TCAAACTCATTTTTGACTCCATAGTCTGAGCTCTCTTTCCACATTATCCTTTGACTCATAAGATTCTGTTTGGATAATAGAAAAATAAAAGCTTCGACTATTCAAAAAAAAAGAAATAAAAAGATCTTGTCAAGTGATTACTCAGATTTGTCATGACTTCAATGAAAAGTAATGTTTGTCTTGCAAAAGCATTGCATAGGCTTAACATATTCTGTATATACATGCATGTATTGCCTTTCATTTGTATATTTTAGGTCACTGAATAATTCCTTTTTCATTTTGCTTGCATGATTCAAATTTGTTTTGGAAAACATAAAAATCTTTGAGGACATGTATGTTCTGACTTTTTGCCTATTCTTTATCACCAAATGTCAGACTTCAAACTGCTTGCCAAAGGCAGTTGTGATTTACTCTTCTCCTCAACTCCTGTGAATTGATAAAATCATAAGGCATAATCTCCAAAAAAGAACATATAACTCTGGATTTGTAAACGTGTGTGTGTGTGTGTGTGTGTGTGTGTGTGTGTGTGTGTATATGTTTCAAGGGTTGGACAAAGGGATTAATGGCTTCACTAACAAAGTGTTAAAGACTGATTATACATCTTTCTCAGCCATCGTGATTTGTTTGTAAATCTTACTAGATTTTTTACTTTGACCATTTAAAACATGTTTGTTATGGAAGTTTCTAAATAAATCCCAAATAGAACACAAAGATCACACCCATCTCCTAATACCCAGCTTCAATAGCTATCAATATTTTTGCTTTATTATCTCATCTAATTCTCTTGGTTTTTTTCTGGAATATTTTATAGCAAATGTCAGGTGTAGTTCATTTAACTTCAAGGTATTTTAATGTGCATCTCAAAAATGACATTTTATTATACAGCCTCAATGCCATTATCACACAAAACAAAATAATGCCATCTAATACCAAATCTAAATTCAAATTTCTTTGTCTAAAAATGTCTTTTTATACTTGGTCTGTTAAAATTAGCATTTAATGATATTGAGTGGTTAGGACTTGTAAGTTTCTTTTGAGATAGAACAGTTCTTTCTCTCTGCTTCTACCTTTGATGCTACCTGGTTTTTGAAGCATTCAGATATGAAGTGCTCCTCCACATTCTGGATTTTTTGGATCGTGTCCTTATTGTGTACTCGAACTTATTTATAATAACTGTATCTTCTGTACAATGAAATGCAGAATTTTAATTTTCTAGAATTCGTTGTGGTATCACATCTTTTCTATTGCATTATATGACAAGTTACATATCTCACTTTTAGTGGTACTAAGATTGATCAATAATTATAGATGGAGACAGCCTGATTCTTTCATTATAAAGTACCTTATTAATCTTTTACTTAATGATTCACCATTATTTGATGACCATTTACTTGAATCATCTATTTTATCATCGATTGTAAAATGATGTTTTTTTCAAATTCTGTCATTGCTTTTACATTTATTACCTGGATTAATTAGCCTTTATTAATTACCTTTATTAATTAGCCAGGCACCATGGCTCATACCTGTTTTCCCAGCATATTGAGAGGCCAAGGCAGGAAGATTGCTAGAGCTCAGAAGTTTGAGACTGGAATTCTTAAATGTCCCTCATTCACGGGGCTATTTAATACCCTGGGTGTCAAGGTCAAAGGCAAAAGCAAGATAAATACTTATTTATTTCCCTTTAATTACTAATGTTAACATAATGGTTGAAATACTAGCAATCTTCTGTGGTTCCCAGTGACATATATTTTCTTTCTGTATCTCCTTATTTTAGTGAGTAGGAGATATGTCTTATGAAATTGTAACTTTTAAAGTATAACTGCTGGCTTCCACCAAATGGCAGTAATTATTCTTTTTTGTTCTTTTTTGCAGATGTTAATATTTGAAAACTTCAAATGTATACAATTATTGAGAGAATAGTAAATCATAAATTCTTGTGTTTATCTTCCAGCTTAACCAATTTATAATTTATAGCAAATATATTTTTCCTATAGGTCCACATTCTACATCCCCCAACCCATATGACTCACAAGCAAATTCATGTTTTATATCTTTCTGTAATATTTATATGTGTACCTTATAAAAAAGGGACCCATTTAAAAACAGAATCATGTCTGTACTACCATTATGACAACCAACCAAAGTTAAAAATAATTTCTCAAAATCATCAGATAACAAGTCAGTTTTACATTTCACTAATACTCTTATAAATGTATGTATGTGTGTTTACATTTTGTTTGAATTGGTATCTAAATAAGGCCAATGCACTTTAAATGATTATGTCTCCTAATTAGCTTTTAATTTTTAGGTGCCTCCACCTCTTTTCTTTTTTCGCTATATCCTATTGCAAAAAACTAACTAATTTTTAAGTCTTGTATATTTTCCTGTAGCTTGGGACCTGCTGACATGATAAACTGTTATAAATAGTTATAAAAAAGAATTTCTATCATCATTCTTTTTAATGCTCAAGTTATTATCCTACTTTTAGCCAGTAGATGAAAGAAGTGGTTGTTAATTAACTTTATTATGCCTCATAGTAGAAAACTATACGAAGTATTAAAATTAAAGAGAAACCAAGGGAATGAAGAGAATAAAAACACAAATTCTCCTACTAAAATTGTTTTTTTTTTTTTAAAAGGAAAACCGACCTCAGTAAAAGACTTTAAGTAAATCATTTAAAAAAATCAGAAACAAGAACAGACATTTTATCATGCCAGCCCAGGTAATGGAGTCCCCTTATCTGAATGAAAATACTTTCAAATTTAGCAACAAAGCAAAATACAATTTGATACTGGATATAAGATGCATAACTTTAACAAAGGGAATCTCAAGATGTATAAATAAGACAGCAAAGATATACTAGAAAAATTAATATACAAAGAAAGCAGGATGTCATTGTCTTGCTATCAAACAAGCAAAACATCAGGCCAAAAATAAAATCAAGCAGAGAAGAATATTTTATAGAAATGAAAACCACAGTCCACAAAGAAGATACAATAATTATTAATATCTATGCACCCAAATACTACCAGCCGCAAGTTTCAGTAAGAAGAAACCACAGGTAATGCTAAAAGAAATAGGAAAAACGTGGACACAGGAAGGGGAAAAACGCACACTCGGGCCTGTCAGGGTATGGTGGGGATGAGGGGAGAGCATTAGGAAAAAGAGCTAATGCATGCTGGGCTTAATACCTAGGTGATGGGTCAATAGGTGAAGCAAACCAGGATGGCACACCTTTACCTGTGTAACAAACCTGCATACCCTGCACATGTACCCCAGAACTTAAAACAAATTTAAAAAAAGAAATAGGAAAAACAGATTAATAATAGTTTACTTGAACATACCCATCAGTCCAAGACAGTTTAAGTGATGAAACTGTCACTAAAAATACAGAAGACTTCATCTTAATCACCACAGGTTACCAACCAAAAAAAGCCCATAGTAGATGGATTCATACCCAACTGTACCTTACTGAACAGTAAAAACTGGAGCCATTCCCCTTGAGAAATGGAATAAGACAAGGATTCTGACTCCCACCATTCCTGTTCTATTTTATGACTGCGTAGTATTTCATGATGTATATGTATCACATTTTTTTAAAAAATCCACAAGGTGGGCAGATCACCTGAGGACAGGAGTTTGTGACCAGCCTCACCAACATAGCAAAACCCCATCTCTACTAAAAATACAAAAATTACCTGAGTGTGGTGGCACATGCCTATAATTTCAGCTGCTTGGGAGGCTGAGTCAGGAAGATCTCTTGAACCCGGGAGACAGAGGTTGCAGTGAGCCAAGATCACCCATTGCACTCCTGTAGCCTGGAAGAAAGAGTGCAATACCATCTCAAAAAAAAAAAACAAACAACAAAAATCCAGTCCACTGTTGATTCCATGACTTTGCTATTGTGAATAATGCTGCAGTGAACATATGCATGTGTCTTTTTGGTACAACTGTTTGTTTTCAATTATGTATGTGAAATATGTAATATATAATATATAATTTATATATAAATGGGATTATTATACATATATAATATATAATATATAGAATATGTATTTTATCTGTCTATCTATCTGTCTGTCTGTCTGTCTGTCTATCTATCTATCTATGGGATTGCTGGGTCAAATGGTAGTTCTATTTTTAGTTCTTTCAGAAATCTAACTACTTTCCATAGGGGCTAAACTAATTTGCATTTCCACCAACATTGAATAAGTAAGCATTCTCTTTTTTCCACAACCCCATCAAAATTAGTCATTATTTTTTTACTTTTTAGTAATAGCCATTCTGACTGCTGTGAGATAGTATCTCAGTGTGGTTTTGATGAGCATTTTTCTGATGGTTAGTGATGTTAAACATTTTTTCATGTTTCTTGGCTGATTGTATGGCTTCTTTTCAGAAGTGTGTTCAAATCCTTTGCCCACTTTTTAATGACGTTGTTCGATTTTTTTTTTTCTTTTTAAGTTCCTTTCAGATTCTGGATATTAATCCTTTATCAAATGCATAGTTTGAGAATATTTTCTCCTGTTCTGCAGGTGGTCTGTTTACCGTTGAGAGTTTCTTTTGCTGTGCAGACACTCTTTAGTTTAATTAAGTCCCATTCATCGATATTTGATTTTGTTGCACTTGCTTTAAAGGACTTTGTTATAAATTAATTGCCTAGGTCAGCATCTAGAAGAGTATTTCCTAGATCTTTTTTTCTAGAACTTCAATAGTTTCAGACCTTACATTAAAGTCTGTAAGCTGTCTTGGGGTAATTTTTGTATATGATGAGAGGTAGGAGTCCAGGTTCATTCTTCTGCATATGGTTAGCCAATTTTTCTGGCACTGTTTATTGAATAAGATATCTTTTCCCCATTGTTTATTTTTGTCAGTTGTTGAATATGAGTAGGTTGTAGGTGTATGACTCTATTTCTGTGTTCTCCTTTCTGTACCATTAGTCTGCTTGTCTATTTCTGTAGTAGTACCATGCTGTTTTGGTTCTTGTATCCTTGTATCACAGTTTGAATTCAGGTAATGGGTTGCTTTCAGCTTTTTTTTTTTTTCCTTAGGATTTTCTTTTTATATACATATTTTTTATTGTACTTTAGGTTCTGGGGTACATGTGCAGATCATGCAGGATTGTTGCATAGGTACATACATGGCAATGTGGTCTGCTGCCTCCATCTCCCCGTCACCTATATCTGGCATTTCTCCCCATGTTATCCCTCCCCAACCTCCCTAACCCCTGATGTCCCTTCCCTAGTTCTCCACAACAGACCCCAGCATGTGATGTTCCCCTCCCTGTGTCCATGTGTTCTCATTGTTTAACACCTGCCTATGAGTGAGAACATGTGGTGTTTGATTTTCTGTTCTTGTGTCAGTTTGCTCAGAATCCATGGTTTCCAGATTCATCCGTGTCCCTGCAAAGGACATGAACTCATTGTCCTTTGCAGGGACACGGATGAATCTGGAAACCATCGATTCTGCGCAAACTGACACAAGGCAAAGTGGTTTGCTGTCACCATCCCTCCATCACCTATATCTGACATTTGTCCCTAAGTTATCCCTCCCCCACCGTCATTCCCACTGTCCCTCCCGTAGCCCCCCACAATGGACTCCAGTGTGTGATGCTCCCTTTTTTGTGTCCAAGTGTTCTCATTGTTCAACACCCACCTATGAATGAGAACATGTGGTGTTTGATTTTCTTTTCTTGTGTCAGTTTGCTGAGAATGATGGTTTCCAGGTTCAACCATGTCCCTACAAAGGACACAAACTCATTGCTTTTTATGGCTGCATAGTATTCCGTGGTGTATATGTGCCACGTTTTATTTGTCCACTCTATCATTGATGGGCATTTAGGTTGGTTCCAGGTCTTTGCTATTGTAAACAGTGTCACGATGAACATGTGTGTGCATGTGTCTTTATAATAGAATGATTTATAGTCCTTTGGGTGTATACCCAGTAATGGGATTGCTGGGTCAAATGGAATTTCAATTTCTATGTCCTTGAGGAATCACCACACTGTCTTCCACAATGGTTGAACTAATTTACACTCCCACCAACAGTGTAAAAGTGATCCTATTTCTGCACGTCCTCTCCAGCATCTGCTCTCTCCAGATTTTTTAATGATCGCCATTCTAACTGGCATGAGATGGTATCTCAATGTGGTTTTGATTGCATTTTTCTAATGACCAGTGATGATGAGCATTTTTTCATGTTTGTTGGCTTCATATATGTCTCCTTTTGAAAAGTGTCTGTTCATATCCTTTACCCTCTTTTGGATGAATTTTTTTTTCTTGTAAATCGGTTTCAGTTATTTGTAGATTCTGGAAATTAGCCCTTTGTCACATGGGTAGATGGAAAAAATATATTCCCATTCTGTTGGTTGTTGGTTCACTCTAATGATTGTTTCTTTTGCTGTACAGAAGCTCTGGAGTTGAATTAGATCCCATTTGTCTATTTTGGCTTTTTTTTGCCATTGCTTTTGATGTTTTAGTCATGAAGTCCTTGCCTATGCCTATGTCCTTAATGGTTTTGCCTAGGTTTTCTTCTAGGATTTTTATGGTGTTAGGTCTTGTTTTTAAGTCCTTCATCCATCTGGAGTTAATTTTAGTGTAAGGTGTCAGGAAGGGATCTAGTTTCTGCTTTCTGCACATTGCTAGCCAGTTTTCCCAATACCAATACCAGTTATTAAACAGGGAATCCTTTCCCCATTGCTTTTTTTTGTCAAAGATCAGATGGTTGTAGATGTGTGGTGTTGCTCCGGAGGCCTCTCTTCTGTTCCATTGGTCTGTGTTTCTGTTTTGATGCTATTACCATGCTGTTTTGATTACTGTTGCCTTGTAGCATAGCTTGAAGTCTCACAGCGTGATGCCGACAGCTTTGTTCTTTTTGCTTAGGATTGTCTTGCCTGTGCAGGTTCTTTTTTGCTTCCATGTGAAGTTCAATGTGGTTTTGTCCAGTTCTGTGAAGAAGGTAATTGGTAGTTTGATGGGGATAGTGTTAAATCTATAAATTACTTTGGGCAGTATGGCTTTTTTCACAATATTGATTCTTCCTAACCATGATCATGGAATGTTTTTCCATCTGTTTGTGTCCTCTCTGATTTCTTTGAGCAGTGGTTCATAGTTCTCCTTGAAGAAGTCCTTTGCATCCTTTCTTAGTTGTAAAAATTCCTAGGTATTTTATTCTCTTTGTAGCAATTGTGAATGGGAGTTTGCTTATGATTTGGCTCTTTTTTAGTCTGTTATTGGTGTATAGGATTTCTGCACATTGATTTTGTATTCTGAGACTTTGCTGAAGTTGTTTATCAGTGTTAGGAGATTTTGGGTTGAGACAGTGGGGTCTTCTAAATATACAATCATGTCATCTGCAAGTAGAGACAATTTGACTTCTTCCTTTCCTAATTGAATAACCTTTATTTCTTTTTCTTGCCTGATTGCTCTGGCTAGAACTCCAATACTATATTGAATAGAAGTGGTGAGAGAGGGCATCCTTGTCTAGTGCCGGATTTCAGAGGGAATGCTTTCAGTTTTTGCCCATTCAGTATAATATTGACTGTGGGTTTGTCATAAATAGCTTTTATTATTTTGAGATATGTTCCATCAATAACTAGTTTACTGGGAGTTTTTAGCTTAAAGGACTGTTGAATTTTGTTGAAGGCCTTCTCTACATCTATTGAGATAATCATGTGGTTTTTGTCTTTGGTTCTGCTTATGTGGTAGATTACATTTATGGACTTGTGTATGTTTACCAGCCTTGCATCCCAGGAAGAAGCCTGCTTGATTGTGATGGAGGAGCTTTTTAATGTGCTGTTGCAATCGGTTTCCCAGTATTTTATTGAAGATTTTTGCATTTATGTTCATCATGGATATTGGCCTGAAGTTTTTTTCTTGTTGTTACGTCTCTGCTGGGTTTTGGTATTAGGATGATGTTGGTTTTATAAAATGATTTGCAAAGGATTCCATCTTTTTGGATTGTTTGGAAGAGTTTCTGAAGGAGTAGTACCTGCTCCTTTTTGTATGTCTGGTAGAATTCGGCTGTGAACCCATTTGGACCTGGGCTCTTTTTGGTTGGTAGGCTCTTGATTGCTGCCTCAACTTCAGCCCTTGTTATTGGTCTATTCAGGGTTTCAACTTCTTCCTGGTTTAGGCTTGGGAGGGTGCAAGTGTCCAGGAATTTATCCATTTCTTCCAGTTTTACTGGTTTATGTGCGTTGAGTTGTTTGTAGTAATATCTGATGGTAGTTTGTATTTCTGTGGAATTGGTGGTGATATCCCCTTTATTGGTTTTTATTGTCTCTATTTGATTCTCTCTTTTCTTTTTTATTAATCCGGCTACTGATCTGTCTAGTCTGTTGATCTTCTCAAAAAAACAGCTCCTGGATGTATTGATTTTTTGAAGGTTTTTTGTGTGTTTCTATCTTTATCAGTTCTGCTCTGATCTTAGTTATTTCTTGTCTTCTGCTAGCTTTTGAATTTTTTTGATCTTGCTTCTCTAGCTCTTTCAATTTTGATGATAGGGTGTCGATTTTAGATCTTTCTTTGCTTTTCATGTAGGCATTTATTGCTATACATTTCCCTCTAGACACTGCTTTAAATGTGTCCCAGAGATTCTGGTACATTTTGTCTTTGTTCTCATTGGTTTTGAAGAACATCTTTATTTTTACCTTCATTTCATTGTTTATCCAGTCAACATTCAAGAGCCAGTTGTTCAGTTTCCATGAAGTTGTGTGGTTCTGAGTTAGTTTCTTAATCCTGAGTTCTAATTTAATTGCACTGTGGTCTGAGAGACTGTTGGTTATGATTTCCGTTCTTTTGTATTTGCTGAGGAGTGATTTACTTCCAATTATCTGGTCAATTTTAGAGCAGGTGCAATGCAGTGCTGAGAAGAATGTATATTCTGTGGATTTGGGGTGGTGAGTTTTGTAGATGTCTATTAGGTTTGCTTGGTACAGATCTGAGTTCAAGTCCTGGATATCCTTGTTAATTTTCTGTCTCATTGATCTGTCTAATATTGAAAGTGGAGTGTTAAAGTCTCCCACTATTATTGTGTGGGAGTCTAAGTCTCTTTGTAGGTAATTAAGAACTTGCTTTATGTACCTGGATGCTCCTGTATTGGGTGCATATATATTTAGAATTGTTAGCTCTTCTTGCTGCACTGATCCTTTTACCATTATGTGCTGCCCTTCTTTGTCTCTTTTGATATTTGTTGGTTTAAAGTCTATTTTATCAGATACTAGGATTGCAACTCCTGCTTTTTTTTTTTTTTCCCCTCTCCATTTGCTTGGTAAATCTTTGTCCATCCTTGGCAAGTCTGTGTCTTTTGACTGGGGCATTTAGCCCATTTACATTTAAGGTTAATATTGTTTTGTGTTAATTTGATCCTGCCATTTGATGTTGCTGGATGTTTTTCCTGTTGGTTGACACAGTTTCTTCATTGTGTTGATGGTATTTACCATTTGGAGTAGCTGGTACTAGTTTTTTTTTTTTTTTTTTTTTTGGAGTGACTGCTAGTGGTTGTTCCTTTCTATATATAGTGCTTCTTTCAGGAGCTCTTGTAAGACAGGCCTGCTGGTGACGAAATCGCTCAGCAATTGCTTGTTCATAAATAATTTTATTTCTGCTTTGCTTATGTAGCTTAGTTTTGCTGGATATGAAATTCTAGGTTGAAAGTTCTTTTCTTTAATGATGTTGAATATTGGCCCCTGCTCTCTTCTGGTTTGTAGGGTTTCTGCTGAGAGATCCATGGTGAGTCTGATGGGCTTCTCTTTGTGGGTAACCCGACCTTTCTCTCTGGCTGGTTTTAGCATTTTTTCCTTCATTTCCACCCTGGTGAATCTGATGATTATATGCCTTTGGTTGCTCTTCTTGAGTAATATCTTTGTGTTCTCTGTGTTTCCGGGACTTGAATGTTGGCCTGCCTTGCTAGATTGGGGAAGTTCTCCTAGATAATATCCTGAGGAGTGTTTTCTAGCTTGGATTCATTCTCTCTGTCAGACTCAGGTGCACCTATCAAACGTAGATTAGGTCTTTTCACATAATCCCGTATTTCTTGGAAGCTTTCTTCCTTTCTTTTCACTCTTTTTTCTCTAATCTTGCCCTCTCATTTTATTTCATTGAGTTGATCTTCAGTCTCTGATATCCTTTCTTCTACTTGGTCGATTCAGCTAGTGAAACTTGTCTATGCTTTGCGAAGTTCTTGTGTTGTGTTTTTCAACTCCATCAAGTCATTTATATTCTTCTCTAAGCTGTTTATTCTTGTTAGCATTTCGTCAAACCTTTTTTCAGGGTTCTTAGTTTCTTTGCATTGGGTTAGAACATGTTCTTGTAGCTCAGAGATGTTTGTTATTATCCATATTTTGAAGCTTGTTTCTGTCAATTCATGAGACTCATTCTCCATCCAGCTTTGTTCACTTGGTGGTGAGGAGTTGTGATCTCTTAGATGGGGAGAATTGTTCTGGTTTTCGGTGTTTTCATCACTTTTGCATTAGTTTATTCCCATCTTCGTGGTTTTATCTACCTGTGGTCTTTGTAGTTGGTGACTTTCAGGTGGAGTCTCTGAGTGGACCTTTTTTTGTTGATGTTGAAGTTATTTCTTTGTTTTTCTTAGTTTCCCTTCTAAGAGTTAGGCCCCTCTGTTATAGGACTGCTGGAGGTCCACTCAAGACCCTGCTTGCTTGGGGATCAGCTGTGGCGGCTGTAGAATAGTAAGGGTTGCTGCTGGTTTCTTTCTCTGTTATCTCTGTCCCAGAAGCATACCCACCAGATGTCAGCCTGAGCTCTCCTTTATGAGGTGCCTCTTTGGATATATGTCGGTAGGGGAGCTGTGTGGGGAGATAGTTGTCCCTTATAGGAGCTCAAGTGCTGAGCAGGGAGCTTTATTTTTCCGTTCAGAGCTGCTGGGCAGGTACGTTTACGCCTCCTGCAGTGGATCTCATAACTGCCTTTTTTCCCAGGTGCTCTGTCGTGGGAAGGTGAGGCTTTATTTATAAGTTCCTGACACGCTGCTGCCTTTTTTCAGAGATGCCCTGCCCAAAAAGTAGGTATTCTAGTGAGAGTCTGCCAGCAGAGGTGTTGCTGGGCTGCTGTGGGCTCTGTCCAGCTGCTGTGTGATCTTCCTTGCAGTTTTGTTTTCAGAGGCACAGTTGTAACTGCCTCAGTAATGGTTGTCTGCCTTAGTAATGGTGGACTGCCTAAGTAATGGCGGACAGCCTCGGTAGTGGTGAACTGCCTTGGTAATGGCTGACACCCTTTCTCCCAGGTCCAGCTGCGCTGTTGCTAAACTCAATCCAGGGCATTTCAGATTGCTGGTCTTTGTGGGGGTGTGACCCGCTGAGCCGGATCACCTGGCTCCCTGTTTCAGCCCCCTTTTTTTTTAGTTGAATGGGTGGCTCTGTCTCTCAGGTGTTTCAGGCGCCAGTTGAAACGGCTGCCCAGATTTGTGTGAGTTTTTGTGCAGAGATCCGTGGTGCTAGCTGAAACAGCTGTGCTGGAAACTCGTGGCACTTTTCAGCCTGGGAATCTCCTTGTCTGTGAGTAGTAAAAACATGTTTGGAAGTGCAGTGATCACTCACCCTCTGCATTCGTCTCACTGGGAACTGCACTCCAGAGCTGTTCCTATTCAGCCATCTTTGATCCCCTCCTCCGAGACAGCTTCCTTATGATCTTCTTTGCTATTTGGGCTTCTTTTTGTCAATGTTCCATGTGAGCTTTAGAATAGTTTCCTTTTAATACTGTGAAAAATCGTAATGGTCATTTGATAGGAATAATACTGGATCTGTAGATTGCTTTGGGCAGTATGGACATCAGTTCTTCCAACGCATGAGCATGGAATGTTTTTCCATTTATGTCATCTGTGATTTCTTTCAGTGGTGTTTTTTATCTCTACTTGTAGGGATCTTTCACCTTCTTGGTTAGATGTATTCCTATGTATTTTATTTTGTTTTTTTGTGGCTATTGTAAACGGGATTGTTTTCTTGATTTGGCTCTTAGCTTTAGTGTTATTGGTGTACAGAATTGCTACTGATTTTTATACATTGATTTTATATGCTGAGACTTTGCTAAAGTCATTTATCAGGTCTGAAAGTCTTTGGGCAAAATCTTTAGTGATTTCTAGTTATGGAGTCATATCCTAAGTGAAAAGAGGTAATTTGATTTTATGTTTTTCTATTCGGATGCCCTTTCTTTCTTTTGCCTGATTTCTCTGCCTAGGACTCCCAGTACTATATTGAATAGGAGTGTTGAGAGTGGACA